GACCTTTGAAGTAGCTAGGTGGGATTAGACATTTTAGATCAATGTTTACCTTAAAATTTGTCTTGAAATCTCCTGTAGTAATGAGTTCCTAAACAAGGTTGAGTGGAATGCCATTTTTTAACAGACGTAGAGCTGGATAACCTGCCCCTTTCTTGTGTGGAAGATGTGGGATTCTTCCGCTTAATATCTCACCTGAAGCCATGCTATGCCATTCCTTGTAGGAAATACTTTTCTGATGTTACCCTTCCTGATCTATTTCAAGCAGTTTATACTTACATAGACCGACTTCTGAAGAATAACGTTATGCGACTGAGCTTTGCAAGCAATACATGGAGTTCCGACGTCAGTCTCTTGTCCATGTTAAGTTTAACAGCTCAATGAATTGATCCCAACTTTGTGCTAAACAGTTAGTTCTCTGATTGCGGAGTTCGACAACAAATGGCTGAAATCGGTATTGCTAATTGGCCGATCATGATAAAGGGCGATCGGCGATCAGTATCAGCCCCAAAGACACTGATCGGTCCATCTCTAGCACTCAAGTAGTTTTTGTGTGCATCACTGATGGAGAGGAAGCTGACATGAAGACACACTAGCAGGATCTCATGCATGCAAGTGTTTTCATTCAGTTTTGTCTTTGATTTGGGTGTGTATGAAGTTAAAGCCCTGAAACACACCTTATGGAAATATATAGTATGTTTATTATGTGGAGTATATTTGATTCTGCTTGGTTATTAAGATGAGAAGTAATCACTCAATCAGAGGAACAATGTTTTTGTCTTGGCTGAGTAAAGGCAGACAAACCAGTGACACTGCATATTCCGGTTATTTCCCAGAGATTCCTAACTAACTAGTGGGTCTTTGCTGACGTGTTGGGCCATGCATGCCTTAATGTACAAAGACGCGTAACAGGATTTGCTTAAAATGTAGCACTGTATGTAAAAGTACGTATAGTCTATATGACTAAGAAGAGCATCGTTGTGACATACCTGTAAAAGGGGATTTCCATCCGTCATTCGGAGTGGTTTGATGTGAAATGGTTCATTGTAGAGAGCCTTGCAGACTGATTTCTGATTTACAGTGGTGGTGATAGGAACCAGGGGTCATGATGTCTACAGCACAGATATAGTAATTTTATTTACAATCCGAAAGTAAGGTGGATAATGGAAAATTACTGGTTAATTTAAAAGTCTAAGCTCTCTTTGGGTATTATTTTGCCGTACAGGGTTCACATTTCCAGATTGATGGGAAAAAAAGTCTCTTATGCCAAAAGCTTCTCAAAACTATAATAAAACAAAGTTGCAGTGTATTCTGAGCCTCTTTTTTGTGTAATAACTCTCTGAGATCAATTTAAGAGAAATTAAACTCTTCAGATGTCTGGGTCCTGTCACCACCACTGAAATATTCAGGCTTGGTATGTTTCTCTAGAATGGAGCATTTCACTTTGTCACTCTGACTTTGTTTACGTCTTAACCATTTAGTTAATGAAAAACTTAAATAACATGACGTTACAGAGTTAATAAATAATCAATAATGATATAAACACTGATACTAGAATCTGTGTTGGTCCTGTTATTGTCAGTAAAGTATTTGTCATAGCAGTGAAATGAATGAGTAAGGACACAGGTTTCATGTTTCAACCATGTTAGATGGACAAAAATGTGAGGCTCGTGTTCAAAAATAAAGGAAAGCTTGTATTGGTATTGTATTGCTTCTATATTAGTAGGAGTTCAGCAGTAGAAATAGGAATTAGTTGTAGGATGCCTCTGTTGATGTGTTCCTCATTAGAGAAATACTGCTGGTACTGCGGTATTTAATGGATGCTAAGTTACGGTTATTGCATGATGCACTTAGATGAGCTAGGCTGTAGATATGGCTGTTGTCTGATTCTTTGTCTGAGTTATCAAACAAGAAAAAAGTTATTGATCATGTGCTGCTTCTGATAGACTTACCTGAACTTCACTCAGTATTTTTACTCACAGCAGCCGAAGCTAAGCTTTGCCACTGAGTCTGACACGGAGTGACCTGAGAGGAGGCAGTGTGCCACACCTCTAGGCCATTTGCTACAGCTCTTTTTTGTCCTTTAGTCAGCTGACTCTTATCAGGTGCTTGTTGAAAGGACGAGAGGGTACTTCAGTGGCACACAAGATGCTATGGATTACATTCACATAGAAGACAAGGTCATATCTAGTACTGTGGTTGCGAAATGTGTTGTCGCTGTGGCTGCCATTCTCAAACTGTATCAGCAATTAGCTGTTACCTTTTTGTTTTTTTATCTTTACAATTAGACTGTAGGCATTGGAAAGTGTTGTTGATTTTGTGCTTTTTTGCTGTTTTTCTTTGCATTGTGTTTGCAGTAAATTGAATTCAGATTTCCAATTTTGCGGTCTTAACGTTCCCAAAACATTTCGTGGCCAGGTTGTGAAAATAACCTTTTCACTTTTTGATATTTGATTGTATTGTAAAAGGTTTTTAGTTGATTTTAGAGGGTTAATCTAATAGATACATCTAGCTGATGCCAAATTGGGAACAGTAGGAAAGTGAACAACTGGAAGGATTCTCAGTTGTAGCTAAAGCAGATTCAGTTCAAGTAGCTGTCTTATTAGTGTAACAAAGCAAAGTATTGTGATTTAACATTGTGTCATGCCTAGTATGTTCACTTGTGGCTAACACATTAACTTGTGGCTAGTGTGTTAAATCAGAGCACTGTAAAGCACATTTTAGTGTTTGTTAGGAAACCAGTCTAAATTGGTCAAGTAAAGCTCCACTGAGTCATTCTTTCAAATCTCAAATGTTGTACTTTTGCTATATTGAAAGCTCTAATAAACTAAAATGGAAACCATTTTATTAATAGGAATAACTTCAGGTGCTAATTTTTACTGCATCAGAAAGAGTATTGAATCAAGACTAGGGCTGCAACAAACGACTATTTTGATAGTCGATTAATCTATCGATTATTGAAACGAATATTCAATTATTCGGATTATCAGTTGCCCAGTTACCAAACAACTTTAATATAGATGTCAGCTTTTAATTGTAAATTTAAATTGAGGTTGTTTGATGCATTTGCTAACCAACAATGAAGACAAAGATGAATACCTTATTTAAAAGTTTACTGTTTTAATGAACAAACAAACAAAATCAACAAAGTCTTTTTCCTGTCAAAATTTAAAATCAAGGATGTGCAAAGTAATAAAATATAACTAATATATATATATATATATATATATATATATATATATATATAAAACTAAATCAGTTCCCTTAAGCTTCACCAACCACACAGCCATATCTACACACAAACATCACACAAACAAACACACAAACATGAGTGTGGATCGCTGACTCTCTTCGTTATGTAATCCTGTACCACTTTCTGAGTGCAGTATTCTTGAAATGGTTTAACTTTGGACAGTAACTTCCTTAAACTGCAGCTCTGTGATGGTACCAAATGCAGTGCAGCATCTATGTATGTATATCTGAGAGCAACACTATTTCCATAGTTCTCCTATGTTCGCCGAATTTGAACGCACTGGTGGCCTCGACATTAAGACAACGATGCAGTGTTTGAAACTGTAAAGGTTATCTGGAAAGTGAACAGGATCGTTATGAGTAACAGTTAATTGCTTCTCCGCTTGAGCTCCATTAATGATACCAGAGAACATGCATTTTGAATTCAAAAATGTTACAGCTCGGCTCCTAACGTGAAGTAGGGCGACTTTTAACATTAACTAGCTAGATAGCAGAGTTATCTTAACAGGATGAATGTTCTTCATCCGGCGAGCCGATGTGTTTCGCAGTCGTCGATTTTAGTCCATTCAGTCAAATAATCATTGCACCCCTAATCAAGACACCACTGTATCACATTAGATGTTTCAAAACTTTGCGTCAACCTTACTAGCAATGTTATAAGTGGTAAGAACATCATCCTAAACTAAACCTTTTTTGCACATCAATTTCGATCTGACCATTCTCGTTACGGGGCTCTCACGCCTACCTTATTTGGTATGCACCAGTCACAGTTTTTCTGTAGTTCAGTCTGTTTTGACAGGTGTGAGCACTCCACCCGCGATTGCAAGTGCTCTACACAAACGAACAAAGGTTCACACTTCCAAGTGAACTCTGGTTCAATTTGTTGTTGGTGGGAACGCAGTATTACACTGTAAAAGAAAGTGCAACTTTTTAACTGAGAAAGAAAATAAACCTAGTTGAGTTCATTAAATCTCTGGTATTGTTTTGCATTTGTTAACTTTAGAAATTTGAGTTCATTAACTTCAAATAACAAGCCCACCAGGTTTACTTACTTTTTAAGTTAAAAGGTAGAATTGTTTTTACAGTGTGCAGTGTCCGCACCAATTGAGGTATTTCAACATCAGATTATGCGTTTTGCTTCTTTTAGCAACAGAGTAGCCCTGTACTGTCTGCATAATCTACCTGTGTCAAGATTTGACATTTGTCTCTAATAACAGTAAATTATTCGCAAAGTAAGACAGCTGATTTTGGCACATGGTGTGAAGAACATGTTTGTGGCTAGGCATCAGGTTCAGTTCACACTGCCAAACCATTCAGTCGTAAAGATGCAGAGATTGAATGGTTTATTTCATTACTTTGCCTGTGGTTCACGTATTTTAAGCACCTCTTTGAATACAAAGTAGGGTAGGATAATACGTTTGCATCAAGAATACATGTGAGGTATAGATCTGAATTTTATACAGTGCTATGCAAGTGAAAGTCACTTTTTGGGCTCTAATGCGAAAATAAAAGGCTGCTTGTATCTCAGCCAAATTCAGTGAACACCCACGTGTGTAATTTAACTTTATACGTTGCCAAACCAAATTAAAAGATACAGTATCACAAACACGCAAACTCTGGTGTGAGAAAACTAACTCGAACAGCTTTAAATACTTGCAGTGCACAGAAAGCATGCTTTGGTATGTAAATGTTATCTCTCAGACTTTGTCTTGCATTTCAATCTGTATGCATATCTTATGTCTCTGACACAGATCAGAGCGTGTCCCGGCAGCAGGAGTGAGGAAGAGCTTTAGAAGAAGAAAATGAGTGAACTGGACCAGTTACGCCAGGAGGCTGAGCAGCTCAAAAACCAGATCAGAGTGAGTACCCCTATGCTCCCGCATTGACTTCACAGGCATTTAAATGACATCTGACCATTTTTGTTTTGTACTCCAGTAATGAAACAGACTGTAATGCTACAAGTTCAGAATGCCAGTTTTAATTTGAGGATATTAACATTAGGTATAGGCACAAGTGACTGTCTGATAGAGTTATCAGTTTGCAAATACCTAAGTGACAAGTAAAATTCACAAAATTGATTTTGTTTTGCTTGATGCTAAATGGGAGGGGGGGTTCTGATGCATCTAACCTGAATCCCTCAATTACAGTTAAGTCTGTGGCATGGCAGGGTAGACTTCCTAGTTTTTTTATATAGACTCTGGTGGATTTCATTGCTTAACATGGCCAAGAACCTCCTACTTTGACTGGAAGGGGCTATTTAACTTATGTGCAAAATGATTAATTGTTGTTACAAACACAGCTGCATTAAACAAAGTGGTATAAAATGACTCGGTGACCACAAACAACACTCTTGACTGATTCTTAAAGATTCTTTGAAGTGTACAGACATTTTTTACTCCATGTTCTATAGCTGCATTTGAATAGTTGTATTGCCCTTTGTTCTGTTATTTTCTTAAGTGTCACTGCCAGTAAAGGAGGCGGTCATGTATGGAAGCATATCAGTATGAAAATGTAATATGCAAAATGGCAATGTAATCCTAAGTTTGAATTTACATTTTCTATTCGTACATGCAAGTTTGGGCTGAAAATGGAAATTGAAAATTCATTAATTCCATTTACATTTTCTATTTGGTGCAATAGTATTGGTGTTTTATTTACACAAAGGTTTAGATGCTTCATGAGAAGCTTTATTTAAATTAAAATGTATTTCCAGAACTGCATATTCTTGTCAGTCATCCCGTTAGGGCGGGGCCAACAGCACACTTTATCTGAAAGCGTGGCGGCCAAAGGGTTTATAGCTACTCTTTACAATAGCAGATGAGATGAGAGAGAGAAATATAGCCACTTGTGATGCTCAGTGTCTTTATACCTGACCCGATGAGAGAGTGTTAAACCAGAAGATTTGGCCACATGTTGGATTAATCAATCTAGTTGGGGGAAAAAAACAAGGTTGAGCTTCTTTCTCAAATTTTCCGGTCCACCTTACAGTGCAGCAGTGACATTCTGGTGCCTCAGTGCACTTAAATGGTACAGCAACACCGTTTAAGGAGGACCAGAATATTAAAAAAAGAAGTTAACTTCAGCTTCTTTTCATGAACTGAGAACGGTGGCTAGAGACTAGACATCTGTGATTTAAGTTTGTGTTGATGTTGCCTGGTTAAACCCGCAATCCTCAGACAGAAATTTCAGGGTTAGATCAAACTAAGATTAAAGTTAACTGGTTAAGCAAGAAATCTTGCATTGTGAGAGGCCCTGGCAGACCAAAGAAGAACACTGAAGTGGACTGAATTATACTTTTAAACAGGATCACTTTTTAGGGATTAGCTGTGTGAAAAAAACATAAAGACCTGAGCATTTACCAGAAGAACCCTGGCAAACAAACCACTTGTACTGGAAAAGAACATAAAATGCCCCTAGAGGTCTGGGACAAAGTATTGTGGACAGACGAGATGAAGATTAACCTGAACCAAGAGTGATGGAATGAGGAAAGCAACAAAAAAGGGGGGGAAAAAAAAACCCTTCTCACAATTCAAAGCATTTGATTGCTGGTGGCGTGTTAGTATTTTGAAGTAAACAGAAGCATCTAAACTGTTCAGATCCTACTAAATGCCCTAAAACGCTAGACACCATTTAACTTTGCACCAAAACTTCAAACTTAATTTCTACACAATTAGAATAATAATACCCCCCACCAACTCCCAGCAAAATAAAAAGAAAAGTTATACACGTTTTCAGGCTATTGCACACTGGACACATCAGGAGACAATGATGCCATTTAGCAGTTTACCCAGACCATAAACCCATAGTGTGTGACGTACACAGAGACGGAGTCAGTGGAAAGTCTTTAAGTTAGCAGACACATTCTGATCGTTTTCACCTCAGCTATTTCACTTCATGGCTTTCAGCTTGAAAAGTGAGTTTATAAAGAGTTAGCTAGCTGATACCAAACCTCGTAAATTCACTGAATGATGCTTTATTCTGTTAAATCTATACAGGTAGAGTGTAAAATGAGCTTGAGTTTGTTTATTGGCGCTTTTCGGCATCACTTACTATGGATGAAATTATCACTATATGGATGAAAGTATTGGGACACCTACACATTACACCTACAGGAGATTTTCTGACATCCCATTCTAAATCCATAGGCAATAATATTGAGTTGGTCCCCCCTTTGGAGCTATAACAGCCTCCACTGGTCAATGAGGTTGAGGTCAGGGCCCTGTGAGGGCCAGTCAAGTTCTTCCACACCAAACTCACCCAGACATGCATTTATGGACCTTGCTTTGTGCACTGGGGCTCAGTCATGCTGAAAGAGAAAAGGGTCTTCCCCAAACTGTTCCCACAAAGTTGGAAGCAAAGAATTGCCCAAAATATCTTGGTCTGCTGAAGCCTTAAGAATTCCCTTCACTGAAACTAAGCGGCCTAGGCCAACCCCTGAAAACAGCCCCATAGCATCATCCCTCCTCTACCAAAGTTTACAGTTGGCATCATGCAGTCAGGCAGGTAACGTTCTCCTGGCATTCGCCAACCTCAGACTCGTCCATCAGACTGCCAGATAGAGAAGCGTGATTCATCACTCCAGAGAATGTGTTTCAGAGTGCTTTACACCACTCCCTCCCCCCCGCCCGCCTGTGCATTTTGTTCGTAGGTTTGTGTGTATCAGCTCGGCCATGGAAACCCATTTCGTGAAGCCCCTGATGCACAGTTCTGTTGCTGATGTTACTTCCAGAGGCAATTTGGAACTCTTTAGTAAGTGATTCAATAGAGGATAGACACTGTGCGCTTCAGCACTCGCCGGCCCCACTCTGTGAGTTTATGTGGTCTACCGCTTCATGGTTAAGCCCCTGTTGCTCCTAAGTACTTCCATTTCACAATAATAGCACTTACGGTTGACAGGAGCAGATCTAGCAGGACAGAAATTTCACAAACTGACCTGAGGCAGAGGTGGCATCCTATGACAGTGCCAAGTTTAAAGTCACTGAGCTCATCAGTGCGACTCATTCCACTGCCAGTTTTTGTCTATTGAGACTGTAAGGCTAGATGCATATTTTTCTCCACCTGTTAGCAACCAGTGTGGCTGAAACACCTGAACTCAATAATTAGGTGTGTCCCAATGCTTATGTCTGTATAGTGTATATGCTATAGATGGGCTCTGTATTATCTGCTACCTGGAACCAGAGACCCTCTGCCAGGGCAGCATGGGGTTTCTTGTCCGGTGTGCCTCCCTGGTTAGCCAGCTTGCTTCCTTCTCTGGAGTGAACAGATAAAAATATTTTTCGGACATGTCAAGGTTCTTGTATGACAATGTATAATGTTAAAGACAAGCTCATTTGCATACTGAAAATCCTAATTTACTATTTGATTTTTTTTTTTATTTACTTTATTGACTTAGAATTTTTGAACATTCTGACTTTCCCATACAACTTTATAAAATAATTGTCATACGTTGCATATATTTTAACCAGTTGTGATTCATGAGTCAAAGTGTATTTTCTGCAAGGTTTTGGTGACGATTTTGAAAGCGTAATAGCCGCTTGCTTGCATTTTACGTGCCCAAAAGGTGTCTAGTTCAAAAACAGTAGAAAAGGCGGGATTGCTGAAATTACACGTTTTGATTTTCCACTTTAAAATACTTCCACTCTGTACAGACTTAAACCACTTTGGTAACTTCTGAAAACAGGCCTCAGTGCCACAGGTTGCCAATAATGTTTGTTTACCTCTTCAACAGTGATAGAAATAGAGCGCAGGAAAAAAACAGTGGATCAGAAGTGAATTGGGCTTATTTTAATCGATACATATTCCATTAAAATATACTTGGATCAGCTGCAATCTCGATCCCCTGGATTGAATTATGACATCACTACTGTGCGAATCAATCAGTAAAAAAAAAAAAAACTTGTTTGTTAGAACTATTTACTTCCAGTAGACTCAGGAATTGAGGTAATGACTGCAATAAAAGACTCATCTGCTTAACCTGTTCAACTGGAAGTGTGTTCTTGTAGCTTATGAGAATAGACTGCATAGCTGAGACATTTTCATATGGCAACCAGTTATTTGCATTTGCAGCTTACCGAATACTGTTGGGATGCCTGCATTATGAGTTACTGAGAGGCACTTCCTGATGTGACTCATGGCTCATCACTGCGTTGTAATGTTTTGGTGCTAAAATATGTGGATGCAGTCACTCCTACAAAGAAAATATTTTTAAAAGTTTACTATAATTGGTTTGTGTTTACACTAGTGACTGACATTATTAGAAGACTGACATCTAAATCTCAGTTTCTTAAATTCTGTTGAGAGACAAGTAAACACATGAACCCGACTACGGTCGTGATACCAACTACCATCATGATGAATGACTCAGTCACCAAAGAGAGTAGCTAGTTCATTTAAACTGGTGTTAAAAGATGAATGAGGCCAGAATATAACAAGTTTATCAGAATAAAATGCCACAGGAGGCTCAGTCTGACACTTGCGTGGAGGGGAAAAAAACACTTGTCATTTTGCATTATGGCATCCATTTGCACGTCAACAGTTACTCTGTTTTTAAATTAGGAGCTAAATTAGGAGACTGTGTATCTATTCAGACCCTTCAATCTGAAAAAAAAAGTCCAACATGACTCAGTATTCTGCATGTCTGATATCTGTTTTTCAGGATGCGAGGAAAGCCTGTGCAGATGCCACACTATCACAGGTAATTCATTATCATTAAATGGGGGGGGGAAAAATTAAGCAAACTAAGAGCACCTATTTTTATTTGATCCAACTCAAGCTATTTTGTGGTCATCTCAAATGTAATTTGTCTTCCAGATCACAGCCAACATCGACCCTGTTGGCCGAATCCAGATGCGCACAAGGCGAACGCTGAGGGGACATCTGGCTAAAATCTATGCCATGCACTGGGGCTCTGACTCCAGGTACTTTTGTCATAGTGTTTTAGGTGGATTTAGCTAGTTAATGTGTTCTTGGGAGGAATTTGTTTGTATGGGGACGTTCCAGTCAAGAATCAAATGTATTTTGTTAGGATTAACTGTGGTGTTCAGTGAAAGGCTGAGGGGAAAAGCTTGATAGAGAATGCCTACTTCCTTATGTTGGAATGCAAATATTAGATGAGTTTTTCAGTTTTGTTTCCTGAAAGGCTGTTTATTCCTTCTTAATAGCAGGACTATTGTAGTTTTAATTTTTGTTTATTAATATTTAATTTTTTGTGAATGAATTTCAGTTAAGTTTGTTAGCCTTAAGTGCGTTAGCATTTTCTGAAAATTATGTGCTTTACTGTAGTTTTTGCGTAGTTTGTTTTATAGATACTGTTATAGGTACTGTTTTGTAAATATTTCATCAATAACCAGGATGTAAAGGAAGTCAAAGTTTGTCTTGTTGTTCCCTTCCAGTGAGTTTATCCATTTCAATAATAGACTAAAATGGTAAAACTCACTGGAAGCGGTAGACTGTGTTTGCATAAGTTGCTTTAGTCCAAGGCATCATCAGCTCCCAGGTATTTAAGGTTTGACATGGAATGAATTCTGTATGCATTAAAAACACCAAAACTGAATGATTTTTTTGTCTGTAATCTTATAGTATTAAGACACTTATAGTACTGATTTAGTTTTTGTGTTCATGAAAATTGTTTTATTTTTATTCCATTAACAAGTACAATTTTTGTTAACAGTAATAGTCTTGCTTCAAAGTGAAAACACATGGAGATCAATCATCCATTACAATTAGCCATCTTCAGGGGCTTCCCTTCTCTGTGTGGGAGTCTGTAGGTGTATTTTACACTAGCTGGTGGACATGCACAGAGTGGTGAATCACTTTCTGTTCATGCATGTAGGTGGTGAAATGATGGCTGTGTGTAGGTGTTATGACTAAGCATATGTTGTTGCTATTACTGTCATGGTTTAAATTGAGGCCCAACCTGCATGAACAATGCTGCAGAATTGTGCTTTTAATAGTCCACAATACTTAACATGTTATTGATGATCACTTTCTTCACAAGCCTTTAGATTATAATGTGCGTTCTTAAGGTTATCTGCTGCTTCCATTTACCTCACTGTTGCTTTTTTCGTGTAGGCTGTTGGTCAGTGCATCCCAGGATGGTAAACTCATTATTTGGGACAGCTATACCACAAATAAGGTAGGTCAAGAGGAGATGCACCGATTTGAAGACAAATTGCTTTGTTGCTTATCGTCAAGTACCAAGTTTCTAACCAAAATACTTTGGTTTACCAAACATTAAACTCTGTCCTATTATTGTCTGTGTGGTTCAGGTCCATGCCATTCCTCTTCGCTCGTCCTGGGTGATGACCTGTGCCTACGCTCCCTCAGGGAACTATGTGGCCTGTGGAGGCCTGGATAACATCTGTTCCATCTACAGTCTGAAGACTCGTGAGGGCAATGTGCGCGTCAGCCGTGAACTGGCGGGACACACAGGTACATTTCACTCACTTGTACCTCCAGTCCATATCTGACCACAACAGTCCCGTTGTATATGGTTGGTTGGATGTGTAAGATTGAATTTTCTTGTGCCTCTAAGTCTGTAAGTCTTCTGCTATATGTTTGCAGGTTTTTAGTCCCATCAGTTGGGAGAATATTCCCCCCAGAGCCCTTTGATTTACAGCCTGAGGACAGATTAAGACAGGTTTATACTTGAGTACGTAACCCAAATAGGTATACAAATTGAGACTTTTTTTTTAGCCAGGGACTAAAGTGTAAAACAACAAACCTAAAAGTGAGGTGTTTGGGATGGCAGTCTTGGGTCAGTGTTTTTTTTCTTCTTGACGCTACAACAAAATCAACTGTGTTTAATATTATTGTAAGTTTTAAGGCTTGGCTAATGCAAATACTGATGTGCTAGGGTAGAGAGAATGCATGCGTGAGAGCCTGAAATCTCTGTAAAGAAAGGCAAATCTGCTCCACGTTAAAACAATCATATTAACTTAAAATGTAAACTGGCTGTTTTAATAGTTCAGGTTCACTGAGCCTGTAACAGTGATGTTTTCTGTTACACTGGTTTCTTATTATGTTTGTTTTTTTATGGTTTAGTAAATCTTTGTATCAAATTTAAAAAGTAACTGCACATTTTACAGGTTAATTAAAAAGATTCTGGGTGATGATCTGCCAGAATATACAGTTCTGCAGTGTATCGGGCTGAACTCCTGATCTTTACATGCTCAGCCAACGTATCTTCCCATCTGTACCACTACAGAGTGGAAGGAAAAGTATTTATCTGCTTGTAAATTTCCACCATGTGCATGATGGGACATAATGTCAAAAATCTAGTTGCAGTCTTGCAAATAGTGACACTGCAGGATTCCCAGTCTTTGCAAAATCATGCTCTGTGACTAAAAACTGATTGTCTTTAGATGTGAGAAGGTGTCAGACTTCAGTCTTTCAAAAGTCTTTTCAAAAGTTTTTTTTTTTTCAGAGTCTTCTAGTGCATGGTTAGCATTACATAGTTTAACCATTAGCTAATGAACACCTTCGTTTTCTGGAAAAATGTAAGATAAACAGTCAGTTGTGGCCCATCTTAGCACTGCGTCCTAGTTGTGATAGAGCTGTAAACTACATTTACGATGGTTTAATCTTTCCTATATCCCTTTATAAGTGGCTCTGGTGGTATCAGTTTAAGTGGAGTTGAGGAGTCTAAACCCTGACAGCTCAGAATCCCTAGTCCATCCGTCAGCTATGTTTTAGAAGCAGTTCACAATTATGGTCGTATAAAAGAGCATAAAGCATTTTATTTGTGACCTACTTTGCTATTTCTGTCTGGGCTTGTATTATGCAGATGTGGTGCTCCGTACTGCTCATGTGTTCATTCGACTTTACATAAGTTGAAGTGAAAGTTTGTCACTTCGTTATTGTGAGTGTACCTGTTTAACTGCTGGAATGAGAACTTTCTGCTCTCTGACTACAGTCTTGCATTGCCATGTTTTTGAAATTACTCATCCAGCTCCAGTTAAAGTCTGTGTGATGCGTTTTCAGCATTCTGATTTAAATGAAATCATATGTTTGTTTATTTCCTTTTGTCTGCAGGGTACCTGTCCTGCTGCCGCTTCCTTGATGACAACCAGATTGTCACGAGTTCTGGCGACACCACCTGGTGAGAGAGAGAAACTGCAGCCCCTTCAGTGAGATAATTAAGCGAGGGGAAATGAGGAGGCGGCACATACCTAGTGCTGTGTTACCTCAATGAAACAATTAAACTTCATTTAGCAAAGAAAAATAAATTATCATTAGGATAGACAGCAGTTCTCAGTGAGTAGAAGTTCACAATATTTCTGAAAAATCTACACCATGTTGGTAAGATCAGTGATCTGGCTTTGTTATATTGCTGTATTTTAAAGTCAGAATTATAGTAGTGATGGGCTTTGTATGAGCAACAAATATATTATTTGTTATATATTATAGTAGTATGCATGCATGATGATATCAAAATTGTAACAGTATTAGCAGATAATTGCTTAAAAAAAAAGTCTGCATCGGACATCTAGATTTGACCAGTATTTCAAACCAATATTTTGATGGTTTTGTTGTATTCCAGAAGAGCAGAACATTCAAACGATGCTGGGCTGCAGCACTATGTCTGCAATTTATTATTTTGTCTGTAGTGCTAATCCAGGAAGATGTAGTCTGAGTTTTAACTTTTTTAAAATATTTATGCATCATCATCAGATATATACATGAAAAATGTAGAATATTGGCATCAGCCCACATTTCCGATATGGACGCATCCTTTCTAAACAGGGTCTTTTGCTGTTTAGAAGCTAATGAAAAGTATATTTTTGCCTGCTAAGTCAAAAAAATACTTGGAGAACCCACCTTAGTATTATCTGGTATTTTCTTTTATTTAAAAAAATGTATAGAGCCTTTGTTTATTCTTTTGATTAATTACAATATTCTTTTTGGTTAATCTGTGTGATGCTTGTTTTTATTACAGTGCTCTCTGGGACATAGAAACTGGTCAGCAGACAACCACTTTTGCAGGCCACACTGGAGATGTGATGAGCCTGTCCCTGGGTCCTGACTCCAGGACCTTTGTGTCAGGGGCCTGCGATGCCTCAGCTAAGCTGTGGGATGTGCGCGAGGGCATGTGCAGACAGACCTTTACTGGCCATGAATCTGACATCAATGCCATCTGTGTGAGTAGCTCTACTCTGTTAACAGATTTGCAGTGTATTATGTTACTATTACACTACTATGCTACAACTGCAAGACAATTTTGTAATTGGTAATTTGTTGAGCTGACAAAAACAAGTTTACTTTAAATGAACTTACTTTGTATGCTTCAGTATGTGCCTGTGAAGTCTAGCGTCCTCAATAATGGAGAAAGGTTGGTTATCCAGGCTATCAGTTCCAGTATTTTGGCAGTTGTTTGTGAATTTTTTCCAGAAACGCTGTCAGCGTGTTCACTGGAAATTTCCTTCCTGCTTATGTTTTGCTGTATTCTCCGTATCAAGCAGGGTTTTATATATTCAAGTGCTATCAAACCTGCAGTGTAGAAGCTCAAGGGAGTTGTTGGTTGGTGCATATTTCCCTAATCCTAGGTTTCGTTTTCTATTTGAAGGCTCTTTAACCAAATGTGTGTGTGTGTGTGCTGTAGTATCTCTCAGCTTATTCATCCTGGTTGTCTTTTCTCAGTTCTTCCCCAATGGCAATGCATTTGCCACTGGCTCGGATGATGCCACTTGCCGCCTGTTTGACCTGCGCGCTGACCAGGAGCTGATGGTGTACTCCCACGACAACATCATCTGTGGCATCACCTCCGTGGCCTTCTCCAAGAGTGGCCGCCTTCTGCTGGCTGGTTACGATGACTTTAACTGCAACGTGTGGGACAGCCTCAAGGCTGACCGTGCAGGTAAGACATTCACACACTCACAGTGTAAATGGCAGAGAACGCCACTGCTGTCGAGACAGATGTTGTACTGTTACTGTCTAAGTGCGGGAAAAAAACTTGCAAAATAATTTTACTTGGTGGTTTGCATATTATTTCTTCAGTAACACGATCCTGCTGTGAGCCATGTTATTATATACCTCGGGGAAATGATTATTCAAATCTAACAGGTTTTTCCACATAGCATTTATCGTTGAAGTACATGTACATAGACACGCAAATATATACATTGCACGCATTCTCTTCATATCTTAGTCACAGAAAAAGTTTAGACCCGCCTTGTAACTCTATAACTGTATTGAATATAACATTGTTTTTATTGGTGTATTAATGTTGCTCTCTGGCAGGTGTGTTAGCTGGCCATGACAACCGTGTGAGCTGTCTGGGTGTGACTGATGATGGCATGGCTGTGGCTACAGGGTCCTGGGACAGCTTCCTCAAGATCTGGAACTGAACTCTGAAGGTGCTTTCAACACAACATGTCCGACACAGTAAGACAGCCTCTTTTCCCTTTGCTCATGTGCCATCAAGCATATTAACACGCAGGAAACATCTTCAGAAGCCGGCCCAGACTTTTGTCTTAGTTTATAATGTATTTTATTTATTCATATTTTTACTGTAAGCAAATTAGTACCAAGATTTTACAATTTAGTCATGTAGGCAAAAACTACATTTAAAGGCATTGTGCCTCGTGTCCGGTTTAATGTAGGCACTTTTCCACCAAGTAGTGCAGCACACGATGTTATGGTAACAAATTCATGATTACACATTTTATCATTTCCATTGCCAAATGAACTAAAACCAAGTTAAATTAAAACTCAAAGCTTCTCTCTTGTTGCTGCTGTTTGCATTTGCTGTTAACACTGCTGTCTCAGGAGAAATCATGTCACCATCAGGGTTGTTATAGTTAACTAAAACTACTACTAAAATGTAAACTAGCAGTAAAAAAAAAATGCTCATTGACTGCAATTACAATAAAAACGACAGGTTTCAAAACCATGAAAACTAAATCAAAACCCTAATGTTGAAGGCGAAACTAACAAAGTAAAATTGCTGAGAACTACTTAGTTCTTTTTTTTTCAGTGTGTTAATGAGAGTTTAGAAGCAGAACTTTTGTGTTATGCTGTCTTTAGTAAAGCTTGAGCTGAGCTCTGTCTACTGTTATATTAATTTTATTCTATCCTTACCAAAAACCCACTGTCATTCATCATAATATTCAAAAGTAAAAATAAAAGTGAAACTAAATAACTTCAACTGCTAATTTTTTAAAAACAAAACAAAAACAAAACTGAAACTATTATTGCACCTTTAAAACTCACTGAACCTAAACTGAAATCAAAACCAAAGTGAAAAACTAAATAAAAAATAAAACTAATGAACATTTTAAAAAAATATAGCAGCCCTGGTCACAAGCACCATTGTTTGACAGGAAGCGGATGCAGGTACTCGACCAGTGATAATTAGGGGCTGGCAATAAGCTGATATTTGTTATTGTGAGAAATCACGTTATGTAACTGTGCTTTTCTCAGCATATTGTGGATATCTTCAGTACTTAAAGAATTATGAACAACTGCGTATAAGAGAGCATAAATGGTCCTGTTTACCTGGATTCAGTGCAGTTCTGTATATAAAACGATGGTTAAAAGTCGTTGTATTCTTAGTTTTGATAGTATTTTTGAAATGTAACACCATAGATTGGCCTGTCACAGTTACTGCATAATCACCTGTTGGCTGTTGTTTAAGCTGACTGGAGTTATTTTCGTGAATGTAGATAAAAGTAAGCAGAAAATGCCTTTATTGAGGCACGTCAGAGCTCTTATGAAAAGAAACATTATCTCTAACTACTGATTGGTGATGTAACACCTTTTAGAGGCTAGCCCTGAGAAATGTTTGCTTATTTGAGTTCAATCTGTATCTGAAGAATTGAGTTACTGCTAAGTATTGACAGCTAGGAAGCAAAATAGCAAATAAGCTAATTTGGCCACATTAGGCTTGAACTTTTAATAGTTTCATACAAAAACACGATAATTGCAATTATTTGTCAGCTAGAATTTAATGGTTGTGACAGGCCCAACTACTGGTTCTTTATCTGTTCCAACTAATCATCAGACCTCAGATGATTAGTGTGATCTAGTGATGCATAGGATTTGTTCACACAGCAGGTAAAAGTGGCCCAAACCCGATCCTTTGCTTCATATTTGACCCAGATGTGTATCTGTGTGTCAGTGTAAACAGCAAAAAACACATTGAATCTGACATTTTCAATTCCAATTTGAGACTCTTTCATATTTGGTACTGAAATCCGATATGTATGCGACTCAGTCTAAACAGCCAGATCAGAATTCATGCGACTTTTAAGTCAATCTGACTCGACATCAGTCATAATTTTGCACTGCTGAGACTCATAAACATTTAGGCTGATGTTTCTGTACAAAAAAATTAGAGACTCCTCCTTATTTTAAGAGATTTGGAAAGCAGTGAACGCGGCCGTAGGAGAGCGAGGCTGCAGCATCATAGAACAGTTAAAAGTCTGAAAGCAAAGTTTAAAGAATCCGAGGACGCGAACCAAAGAAGTGACCGTCCCCTTTTTTGCGGCGAGCTGGAACACATTCTGGGTGATGAGCCCAGCTGTCAGTCAGTGAAGCTTCATGATGGCTCCTGTGATGCTGGCGAAGATGAAGCTGAAACCTCTGGGAGCGACTGGGGTTCATTCATAGTCATGATTGTTTACCTCTGGATGAGCTTCGTGAATCAATGTGAAGCTCTGTTCTTTTTGAGCATGCAAGTCAGTTTGAGAGCTGATCTGTTCAGACTGATGTCGCATACGGATCACATTTAAAAGATAATGAACAGCCAAACAAAAAATCATCAGATTTGGGCCATTTGTACCTGCTTTGTAAACATAGCCATAGTGTGTCACTATGCGTTTTGAAGTATTGTAATGTGACGTTGCCCATCCCTACACATAATTCTGAAAAGCTGATGCTCACTGCAATAAACAGTTGCACTAAAGCCTGTTTGCATTTTTCCATAACTGTAGGTTTTATATGCATGAAGTAATGGAGAAATAACCTGTCATCTCTAAAGTTGTCAGATTCTAATAGCAAATCGTTACTGATATGTCCATGCTGATAAGTTACTAATGTGACAATGCATTCCTGCTTCCTGGTCTCATAATAATAATAATAATAATAATAGTAAGGACATTTACGTTACTACTACATTATGGCTATTTATGAAATGCTGGTTTATTATAGCCTCTCTATAATCATTATTTGTTGTGCTTGAATTGACGTGCCTGGATGGATGTTAATGAGAAGCTGATTAGTTGATTAATAACTCTTCTTGTGGTCTCTCCTTCTGCATTTCTTTAGATGTCATTTGAACTCCAAAGTTGACTGGAAGACCATTCCAACTTTAGAATGTTAAATTTCACAGCATCGTCAACAAAACACCTTATAAAACTGACTCAGACACCACCACGAAAAGAAAAAAAACTTCTAAGGGAAAACAATGCCTTTCCTACACAAAGAAGAGCACAATTTGTTTTATCACCCACCTTAAAAAAGAAAAAAAAAGAAAAAAAAAAGAGCGCGAGAGAAGAATTCCTGTGGTATCAAACGAATAACTTTGTGCATTCCCTTTCGGACCATTCTGTGTCACCCTGTAAGAAAACAAACACTATCATCCCATGCTTATGTATCATGTGTCTAGAAAGCAAATGTTGGAGTGTAATTGTACAAATTATTTAACTCTTATTTTTTTGTTTCTTTTAAAGAGTTCTTTTATCAAACTGATGGTTATTCTTGGATCTGTTTTTTTTCTTCATATATATATTTTTTTTCTTTTTAGATATGTTCCAGTTTAAACCTTAATCCTGTAAAATTGTGCAAGAACGTTTGAGACAATATGTGCAAAAGGCTGAAATTAGAGCAGGAAGGAAGAGCAGCTTTTTTCTGAAGATGCCAATCATGCGTTTGTTTTTGTTTCGTTTTTTTGTTTGTATTATTTTTTCTTTTTTTTTTCCTTTTGTAAATGGTGCACTAGATTGCTCTAGAGTGAGTGAGTGTGTGAATGTGTAAGTAGTCTTCATGAGCGTGACTTTAGATGCCATGTTGAGGAAAAACACGCTCACTTGTGAACTCATGATTCATGTTGTTGGGCAGCAGATCGAGCGCCCCAAGCAGCTTTCAACTCTAAAACTGTTCACCTTGTTAAACCGTCGCTGAGCGGTCAGCAGTTACTGGGTAATAAGAACAGCCTTAGTTTTCTAAAAGTGTAATCATCTGTGCATTAGTTAACCTTTGATGTGAACACCAGTCCTTTGTCATTAAAGAGAAAATACCATAAAAATGCCATATCTTTGAAATATTTTACCATTTCTGAGTCTGAGGTACTCGCGTCATTTATCCGAAAATGGCTGCTTGTAAATATGAGTATCCGACTTGCACGCGAATGCAGCATTATATCCTAGCTAATTTTTCTTTCCAGTCTTGTCACAGCTTTGTTTGCACAATAAGAAACTTGACTAATGTTTTACACGTTAACTAACCAAGCACATGCCGTTAATCACATCGAATGCTAATTTTAACAAGTACACAAATTTTACAAACCAGTCCCCCTCCCCCTCCTGTTTTTTTAAACTAACCTCAAAGCTTTTCTTCTGGTCTTACTTCTTTTGTATTGGCTTTTACGACTATTCAGTCCAGGGACTGTTTATTATGAGGTTGGACTAAACTGGTATGTGGGGCAGAAGGATATTACAATTTTTTTTTTGTTTTTGTTTTTATTTTTTTAAACAAATAACACCCAGTTTCAGACAACAGATATTCCTGTTTGTGCTTGGAAATACAGTTAATAATCTGTGAATGAAATGTTGTACAAATCAATGTCTGAAAATAATGATTCTTAAAACTTTAAACGTTAACTTTTTATTTCATCTGCCATGAAGTAACGTAGTCGCATGCTGTAGAAATGCTTAAGCAGGTGCTCTTTTGTTTTCTCTTTTCCTTTTGGTTTGTTTATTTTTCCTGTTTTAATTTTTTTAAGGCCCATTGGTCTCTGCTAGGATGGTGAAATTGTTTATTTATATATATATATATATATATATATATATATATATATATATATATATATATATATATATATATATATATATATATAATAAATTATAAAATCTCCTCTAATGGATGGAGCTTAATTCCAGTCGTTTTTTGCCACGCTGTGTATACATCGTTTACTTTTACTGGCAAAGCTATGCACCCAAGTGAGAAGCTGAACGAGAAAGGACTACATATTTACTGCAGACTTTGCTCTGCCCCTCCTCATCGTGGGCTCCTGTAATCAATTCCAAATGACAAATTATTACCAGACAGCAGGTTAATACTTTTTTCCTTTTTTGTCTATTTTCAAATGGAACAGAGGTATTTGTCCAAACAAACTCCGTTCTGGCTTCCTTGAATTACAATGTTTAGAAAATGGCATCTGAAATGGCAGATTGTTCTGTTTTTTTTGTTTATTTTTTTATCCCCCCACTGTAAACAGATGCACTTTCTTCAATAGTTGTGACATTTTTTTAAATGTTTTTTTTCTTCCTCTCTCTGCGATAATGTACAATAATTGTGATGTATTTGTGTGTGCTGCCACCAGTAAAGATTAATTGCAGTTCAATTAAAATGGATTCCCCCCCTTATTTTCTCATCATTAATAACTGTAGAGCTCGGCACTCCTTCTCACCTTTTTTGTATTTAATTTCAGTCTGTCGGTGTACCACAGAAAGCTGGATGCAAGATAGATACTATATAAAAATGTACTGTTATTTAAGATGTAATAAAAAGAAGTTTGAGATGTCTCTCTGTTTTGATGTTTTGGTAGAAAACCCCCCCCATAGTCAGACGTTAAAGACCAACTCCAGGTTTTGAAATGGTTAAATCATCTTGGATGGCTTATTGTGGTTATATAGACTGATATTGTGTCGAAGTGACATCGAGTTCTGGCTTCAGAAAATGCCTGCGCTAATGTAGCTCACTTGATTGAGATGTCTGGACGGCATGTTAGCTGTTAAAATGGATACGCACAACCATTTAGGTTCATTCCAGCTCACTGATGCCACCTTGAGGCACGTTAAGAGAATAAAGACCTAAATCTGAACTAATAAATCTGTGTATTTGTGTTTGGAGATGTTAGTTTAAGCTGCTTTTGCATCAGTGCTTTTGCATACAATGACCTGGGTTCATTCAGGCTCGCTGAAGCTCTGTTAGCTTAAGCTACATTTACTTAAGTATTCTAATTGAAGCTAGCGTTTTAGATTAGTGAAAAGGCTTAAGTAGCTCCAGAGAACTCGTAGAAAGGAGAATTACCACTCTGTAATGTCTTTCGGGCCTCTCAAACGCTAGAGGGCGCTCCCGAGCGAGTCCAAAATGAAAGGGTTATTATGGAGCATTTGAGTAAAATCATAGTTTATAACTGCTTAAACATTTTTAATGTAAAAGAATACAATCATTTCCTGAACACAGAAAAGCGTAAAACATTTTAACACTTTTTAAGGGCTTTAAACCCGGTTCTGGGCGAGTGATTAGAAACTATTTTAACTTTTTGTTTTTAGCCGTTGATCTATATTTACCCCCCATTCACTGAGGACTCACTCGCAGGCGCCCTCTGCTGTTTTACAGTCATGTTTTTGATATAAATGGGGAAATAGGACATGGCCAGACTCCTCATAAACCAGCTCTGGTAGAATGCTGATGTCTCAGTAGCTAGCTAGATAAAATCTGTTCCACCTTAAATGGTGCAACAGTTACATTCTGGTGCCTCAGGCATCAGAACTGCTGGACTATTTAAGGTGGAATGGGAAAATTCAAACAAGAAGCTGATGAATATCTGACTTAAGATTCATATCACTGAAGAAATAGAAGTGGGCGATAATAAATAACCCCCCCCCCTTGAAGGCATATGATTCCCTAAATGGAACTAAAGTCCAGCAGTGAGGAGCTGAACTTTACCCTCCTCTGCTATCACTGCAGACTGGCAGGGTCACCTACAGAGCAGCGCTAGTAGCCTGTTAATGAAGTAATGCTCTTCTTTATTTGAGGGTCTCATTTCAGAGGGAAGATTTCAGCCACCACCCCTTGTAACTCAGTTCCAAGAGTCAAAGTGACACTCGAAAACAAGGGGCAGGGTAAAAATAAGAAATGGGATTAGGTCTAAGTGACCGATGCTGAAGTGACATAAAAACAGAATCTTTCTGATTAAAGTTTCAGTGGGAGCTTATTTTTGTTTTTTCTCTCCCTCAGTCTGTTCAAACATAGAGGTGCCATGCGTCACCATGCATATTCATAAAATCTTCGCATTCTTCATGCAGAGGTTTAGGGATAGTCCAGTACCTCCTGTTTTGTGTGGTAACAATAATACCTAAAAATATTTAACAATGTATTATTCACCATAGACTTTTCTCTTTGTTTAATGACTTCAGAGGGACTTTAATTACTGGAAGTAACTGAAGAAAGCAAATGAAAATGCTGAGATTTACTGCTTAAAGCGTTTGCGAACGCACGCGGCTGGTGAGGCACAGTAGACTTCCTTCTACTGTGGAACTCCCAAAAAAGAGTGACACATTCAAGGTTATTTGCGTCCACAAAGAATCAAGGAAACAGGTGGTTCCGAAAATCACTGCAAATACAAGGACGACTGCTGATCTTGCAGTGAAGCAGTTTTAAACCAGATCTGCGGTTTCCCCTCTAATTCCCCAGTGCGCAAAATTAGTAGTACACTTCCTGCTATTCTTTTAATGAAAGCAAGAATCTCATTAATATTCATACTGCTCACAGTCCTGTTTAGGCATTCACGCGTTCGGTCAGTATTAAGAGTGAAGGAGTAAAGGAGGCACTCAGAAAAAGGACTTTTTCAGATCAGAGTTCATTTCATGCATATGGAATGGCCAAGGTTTTCATTTAAACCAAATAGTAAGATAACCAAAGCCGCAGTGCAGGACTTTGCTCAGCTACCTTCATTCTTTGCTGTTCAGGAATGCCATTAGACCAAGTGTAGGTGTGGTTGTTTGTGAAACGCAAGAACATGATGTAAAACTATTTTTAGGCTGATGGTTACTGGCTCTCTTATAAAGGAATTCCACCACTGTTTACAGATTTCTGCACAAATCATTAAGATGTAAATGGTCATTCAGCCACTCAGTCATTGATGTTAAATGCCCTGTTCTAGAGAGCCTTACATGGAATTGTTACAAATACATTATCTGATGTCTAAAACATTGTTTTATGAGAGTTTTACCGTAAGGTTTTGCCTTAAAACATGTTTCTTGTTTTTCGTTGATGGCTGAGAGATATATCTGTATGAAAAAGCTTGTAAGCTTGTACATCCCCAGTTAAATTACACGCTTTATTGATTTTCTCAGTGGAAAAAAGCTTAACGCCCTCTACAGGGAACACATTTAAACATGTCCTACACTCTCAAAAAAAAAAAAAGGTTCTTCAAGGGTTCTTTAGTAAACAAAACGGTTCTATGTAGAACCATGAACACTCAAAGAACCCTTTGCATGAGTAAAGGATTCTTTGCGTCATGAAATGGTTCTTCAGTTTGATGGATAATGTGCTGTATATGGTTCTATATAGAACCTTTTTGAAAAGATATCAGCTTGATATAATACTAGAACCCTTTTTGGTGCTATAGAACTATTTTCAAAAAGGTTCTGTGTATAACCATATACAGCACATTATCCATCAAACTGAAGAACCATTTCACCATGCAAAGAACCCTTTAATTATGCAAAGGGTTCTTTGAGTGTTCATGATTCTATATAGAACAATTTTCTTTACTAAACAAAAATTGAAAAAACATTTTTATCAATATGTATTTATGTGCTGAGTTTAATATATTAGGGGAAGAAAAAGAAAACATACAATATAAAAGGTGCACAGGTGCCATAACTTCTGCACAGGCCATATTTTATGTTGGATTTTTACCTCCTATATGTTAAATTCAGCAAATACACAGTAATTGTGCGTTAAAATTTGCAGCGTGTTCTCCGTGGAGGATGTCAATTATTTTCACTTTAAAAATGTTATTTGACCGGGGTGCACAAACTTTTGCATACAACTGTAAAGGCAGGGTACTTTAAGCCGAAGTAGAGCCCAAAGAAAACTTTTCTGATTTGCTGCTGTTTTATCATTATCAATGACACGTGTTGGTTCACTGGTGGTTTTGGATAGTAAATAAAATGACTACATTTGTGTTGTAGTCATGGCGACCCCTGGTTCCTGTCAGCACCACTGTAAAGAAAGTTTCTCTGCAATGAACCGTTTCACATCATGTGACTTTGAATGACTTGTTTATGTCTCAACGACTGAATTATGCAGCAAAAAAAAAAATCTGAAATTAATCTGGACATTATTTAGTTTTCCATCATTGCAGCTTGTTTTTTTTTCTTAATACACTGAGTAACTTTATTACTACACCTGCTCGACAGCTGACATAGCTTTGCTCTAAAAATGGGCTTATGTCTGCCCCCATTGTTGATACAGGTTTTTAGCTTGTATAATTTCCATAAAAGGACTGACCAATAGAATCAATCGAATGAGACTCTGGAGCAGCCACACATGAGCCTAAGGTCACCATGCCCAATGCCAAGCATCAGCTAGAGGGGTGTAAAGCCCCCCAGCATTGGGCTGTGGATCAGTGGAACTGTGTTCTCTGGAGTGATGGAGCTCCATCCAATACCTTTGGGATGAGTTGGAGTTCCACAACCGATCATCCAACATCAGTATCTGACCTCACTGAGGCTCCTGTGGCTGAATGCAATCAAATCCTCACAGCAATGTTCCAACATCTAGTGGTAAGCCTTCCCAGAAGAGTAGAGGCTGTTACTGCAGCAAAGAGGCACAAACCCCCTATTAATACACTGGATGAGCAGGTGTCCACAAACTTTTGGACATATAGTGAATGTTCATCCCTTGAATTGCTCAGCTTCTCCCAACCCTTAGGCGTCAGCCTGCCCACTCAAACACGCTGGGGCTTCACTGACTAAACGTCTGAAAGTCGTGGGCGTATCAAGTGAAGGGCCTGTTCAGGTCACGCTTAAGCTATTTTTATAAATGTTGCTTAAACAGTGTTTAGAAATGTTTAGCTCTAAGCTAAAACCATTCAGCTAACACCTGCCCTCGAGTCAAAACCAGGTCACTCGTGAAAGAGGTCATTTAAGGCTAACAGGGTGCAGCACTGTAGTACAGTCACCTTCTGTGCACAACCACGAAACCAAAAACGTGTAGATTGCTGCTTACAATTGTTTGTACAGCTGTAACTGATAAAGTGGCTCCTAACGTATGTACAGTTGTATACAAAAGTTTGGGCGCCCCTAGTCGAACTGTTTTGCTGGAAACGTGAGTGTTTTGTTGATTTACATAAGTGAAATGAAGTTAAGACGGGACATATTCATGCACATTTTAATGCACAAATACTTTTATTTGCTGAAAAAAAAAGCAAAATATGATCTGTGCAAAAATTATTGCACATTTTTCCAAAATATTAAACTTAGCAAAAGAAAAAAAAAAAGAATTTTCGCTGTAAAAAGAGCAGAAAATGCCGTATTATAATGTGTTCACTTATTTTCACTTTGGAAATCAACAGAACATATAATTTGACTGGGGGTGTTCAGACTTTTGCATACGACCGTATATATGCTATTCTGCTTTGCTTATGCTGTACATCACAGGTTTTAAAGGCCTTCTTCTATTTAATTTTTCCCCCTGAGCTCCACTTACAGTGTCTGTGGTGGTTTTATGTACCAAAAACAACTCTAATAAATTTTTACATTTTTCAAACCTCTCTGTTTTTGTTACT